TAGACCATGACTAAAGCTTTGGTTACATACAACCTATCAACATCTGATTTCGAGTAGTCAATCAGCATTTGGGCAAGCATTTTTCTGGTCTTCTTCTTCTTCTTCTTCTTATAATTATTATATCATTAATCTCCCGCAGAAAATATGAATAATTTAATGACAGGAACGGTTAATAAGAAATAATTACGTGACCTGTCATTTACTCACCTCTCTATATCAACAAAATATTTCTTAGGATTCGGATTTTCTACTGTTTTCGAACTCCGCTCATGAAAAGAGATGCGCAAGGCATTATTATTTGCAACAAGAGTTTTCTCAACAATGATTAAAATCGGCTTATGCAAATGAATTCTCTAGCAGACAGCCCACCATCTAGCGGTCCGTCATTCAGTTATGTGCTATGCGTGATACACGTTTAGGCGATCATGTACTTTTGATACATGACTGACGAGGCAGATTTTTTTCCAGCAGTATGTTGACATTTCTTTCTGCGGTAGACCAGTTGCCATTCAACGCAACTACCGAACCTGGACTCTCCTGCTATTTATCCATAGCTGGGGGGAGGGAAGAAGAAGTGGATTCATACCTTTCGCAAGGGTATTAGCACGTAAGTGAATATAATTGATTCGAGTAGAATTCGAACTCGGCATCGCGTTTCCTCAATCCGAGCCGTTATCCCTTACTCCACTGTGCCTCAGTGCTCAGAAAGAGCTCCACTATGTAAAAAAAAATATATATGACGTACAGACATCAACCTGTAGCAACAACTGAAGTTGGTAGCATACATAACTACGTCTCCAAAATATAGAAGAGTATCTCTCTATATTTCTGAGATGAGGTACTATGTACATTATTCGGATATTGCCCACATTTTTGTCGCCATACTTATTACAATGTTTCGGTGTTGTACGCTCCGGCCTTCTTCAGGTGGTTGGAATGTCGAACTGAACCCTTTATTTCGCTCACTGAGGTTGACTGTTCTATTTCCACGTGCCATGTTTAATGGTTGTCAGTTGTCAGTTATCTCGTGTTTATTCACCTCTCCGAGGTGTCCACTGCCTTAACCGAGTATTGAACTCAAACACTTTGGGTCCTGTCACTGGATCTAACTAACGTCTTTATCCACTGTGCCATATGTCCTTGAGAACATCTGTGTATGAATTTCTGCAACCATTTTTACCAGTGCTCATATTGCAATTTTTGCTGTTATCATTTTATGTTTTTATCAGAGCTCATATTGCAATTTTTGTTTTTTTATTGCTTTTCTCTGGCACTCTTTACTACTGGTTCTCATACTGTATTCATTTCTATTCTTGGTCGGCTCAGGAGATCTTTGTGGCCTAGCATATGTGTTGATTCCTTAAGTTTACGAATTTTCTAATGGTATTCTTTTTCTATGATCTCAACATGATCCCACATAGAGCGGTGATCTCCCTTCCCTCTCCATATGTGGTCAGCCACGCCTGATTTTTCCACTTCCCCTCGTGTTACAGCTTTCTGGTGTTCTTCAAGCCTTACCTTAAGGGGGCGGCTTGTCTCCCCTTTATATTTCTTTCCGCAGCTGCACGGGATAGCGAACACACAGCCTTTAGTAATGTTCTCCTCTATGGGGGGGTCTTATATGCCGTAAAAAGAATCAAACCAAACCAAATCAAACCCTTTCTGAACTCAATGATTTGACAGGATTCAAAAGTTTGATATTTTTCCATTATTTATATTTCCTCAACATTTATTGTCTTTTGAAACCTAGTACCAAATATAATTCATCAGCAGGTGATCCCGAGAAACATAACACATGAAAATCTTTGGACATCTACTTACAACTGCAGTGGATGTGTCTAGCGCATTTTCAGGGTAGTTTTGCAGTGGGTACGTCTATCTTTGTATTTACAGTTACTTTACTCTTAGACTAGTTGCCAAACAAGACTAAAGAACTCTACCTTCTGTGTTACTTAACGCATAGCAAGGTGATAAAGGGATTAATGGCCCTTTTCTTAAGAGCTTTTTTTGCTAAAGTAAACGGAATATACGTGCCCAAAATTTGAACTAGATGAACCGATTCCATTTTCCGTATCAATATCCGTGACACAAACCCAAAGATACTTAACTATTATTTTTTTACATTAAGGTTCATCCTATACAAAGCCCGGAGCCCACTCGAGGTGGAAGGTTACGTTAAGGGGTAGTTTATATGGATAGGAATGGAAAATAACTGTTAACTCTGTTTCCTAGGTTTGGTTAGCGTGAAGAAGCTGTTCGAGAGGAACATGCTTTTCAAGGATGGTATACGGAGAGAATGTAGATGGTTTGCTACAGTCTGAGTGGCATGGCAAGCTGAAGGTTATAACTGGCTAAACCAAGGTATGTTGGAATGAATCTCTTAAGACAATTTACGGAGAACTGAGAACAATCTCTCTTAAGTTCAAACGAAAGCAATTTACTGACCAATACCACTGAGCGGACAGGGAAGTCGTCTCATCCTTACTTGTAACGCACACTTCTGGTGATGTCTTCGCACGAAAGTTGACTTTCCCCGACACAATGGCTCGGGACTCAGTATTGGATATTGGCGATCTCTGGACAGCAGTCCATGACCAAACATTGTGGAAAGGCATTGTTAATGGAGTTCCGACCAACCACAGGGAGGTCGAAGGATAATGGTGATGATGAATTACTGACCACTGACAATCCCTTTTTTCCTAATTTGCAATGCATTCTTATAATAAAATCATTAGCAATGCATTTACATTATACATATAATAGCCGTATTCTATCAGTAATGCTTGCATTCATTCCTGACCACTGACAATCCCTTTCTTTCTAATCTGCAATGCATTCCTATAGTAAAATCATTAGCAATGCATTTACATTATACATATAATAGCCCTCTTATATCAGTAGAGCTTGTATTAATTCCTGACCACAGACAATACATTTCTTCCTCATTTGCAATGCATTCCTCTAGTAAAATCATTCACAATATATTTACAACTTATATATCATATCCCTATCTTATCAGTAATGGTTGTATTAATTGGGACCAATCTTTCTTAAGCTCAAACAAAAGCGACTGCAGTTTGCCGGCCATTGTCATCTAGCGGAGAGAGAGATCATATTTTCCATATTTCAATAGTATCTTTCTGGAAGTGTCTTCCCACGAAAATTGACTTTTCCAGATACCATAGCTCAGGACTGAGGGTTGGACATTGGCGATCTGGGAACGCCAATACATGACCGAACAGTGTGGAAAGATATTGTTAATGTAGTTCTGACCAACCACAGGGAGGTCGAAGGATGATGACAATGATGTTGATGATGATGATGACGATGATGTTGATGATGACGATGATGATGATGATGACATTTACACATTATTTAAGCATAAAATCTTTCGCATTATTTAAACATAAATTGTAACATCGTTATTCGTTTCAAATTTTGTAAAATTCTTCCTACCATTCTTTTCTTTTATTGGTTAAAAGTTTCACTATATATGGCGGCTCGATATCAAAGAAAGAATAATTATTAACGACCCGGTTTTAGGTTAAGAAACTGAGTGATATATATATATATATATATATATATATATATATATATATATATATATATATATATATATATATATGTGTGTGTGTGTGTGTGTGTGTGTGAATCAAGAACATCAGTTAGAGATCCCATGAAACTCTTACCACAATTTACGGAAAACTGGGATCAATCCTCTTCAGCTCAAACAAAATCAATTGCAGTTCGCTGGCCACTGCCTTCGAGCGGACAAGGAAGTCGCCTCATGGTTACCTGTATGCCACCTTTCTGGAGGTATCTTTTCGCGAAAGTTGACTTTCTCAGGCACTATGACTCGAGACTCAGGGTAGGACCATGGGGATTTCTGGACGACAGTCCAAGACTGTGCAGTGTGGAAAGGGATTCTTAATGGATTTCTTACCAACCACAGGGATTTCGTAGGACGATAATGCTTAGTTCGCTCGAGCACTTTCGATTGTAGCACCGATAAAGCAGGGAGAGACACACCACATCCTGCCAGTGAGAGGAAGGTTGGAGGGTGGAAAATAATTCTTCTCCAAAAAGAACACTGAGAGGTATTTGAACTATATCAAGACAGGAAAGTGACGACTGGTCTGTTCCCGCCCAAATATGACAACAGTATTCCATTTTCGGAAAATATCTGACCGCTATGAAGATAGATGATAGCGTGAGGAGTACATGGAGCCGATGAGTTTATCTGCATAAGAGATCCATTTGAGGACGGGTGTAAGTTTGGAGTCCAATATTCTCTCAAGGTCCGGTGCCTTTTCGATGGGACATCCGTTCATCATGACTGGTAGTAGTTTGGGTTCCGATCGGCAATGAGGGATTGTAACTAGTTGGTTTTTCAGGCATTAAATGTAACCAGTCAGCTTTTTACTACTTGGATGTTAGTGTTAGTATGAATGCTAAAATAAAATAAATAAAGAAAACGAAGCTTTGTTAGTATATTGTTCAGCATATATACAGAAATATTTTTGGTATAAGATCTTAATCCGACTAACTGTTCTTACGACTTATATTGAAACGACTGCTTTTCTAAATACAATATTTGGTTAAACTTTTTTAGTGTTCACTAATACAATTGTTTCTAGTGTTTTTTTGTATATTATTTGATGGACATTATCGTGTTTGTTCTGTTTTAATAATCAAAACAAATTCTTGTCACGTTTTTTTTTGTTCACGCTTTCTATTCCAAACACCAGGAAGAAAATGAATTTCCAAAAATATGATGAAAAATAAAATAAATAGGTAAAATTATCTTCGAAATAACAACAAACGCAAATGAATTGGAAGAGTCGAATGGTCGAACCAAAATGGCGCTAATAATTAAAGAAATAGTGTTTATAGCACACAACAAAGAAGATAGGAAAGAATAAAATAAAAAAAATGTGAATCAATATAAGAAGAGAAGAAAAGAGAAAAGAGAATTTATATGAAAAATTTTCCTGCCAGAAATGCCGATACTGTTCAGAAACAGAAATCAAATAATGTTACTGATTTTTATATTGCATTATCGTTTTAGTTTTTGCTCTTTTTTTCACTTGCCTTTTAAATTATTTATCATATACAGTCATCATCTATATCAATCTCTTCAGATCTATATTTCCTGATTTGTTCATATCTATCTATCTATCTATCTATCTATCTATCTATCTATCTATCTATCTACTCTCTCTTCAGATCTATCTATCTACTCTCTCTTCAGACCTATTTCATTCTGTTCGTGTCTTTCTACCTATCAGCGTTTCTCTTTATTAGCATATCTATCTATCTATCTATCTATCTATCTATCTATCTATCTATCTACTCTCTCTTCAGATTTCTATTTCAGATTTATTTCATTCTGTTCGTGTCTTTCACCTATCAGCGTTTCTCTTTATTAGCATATCTATCTATCTATCATCTATCTATCTATCTATATCTATCTATCTATCTATCTATCTATCTATCTACTCTCTCTTCAGATTTATTTCATTCTGTTCGTGTCTTTCTACCTATCAGCGTTTCTCTTTATTAGCATATCTATCTATCTATCTATCTATCTATCTATCTATCTATCTATCTATCTATCTATCTACTCTCTTCAGATCTATCTATCTATCTATCTATCTATCTACTCTCTCTTCAGATCTATTTCATTCTGTTTGTGTCTTTCTACCTATCAGCGTTTCTCTTTATTAGCATGCCTATCTATCTATCTATCTATCTATCTATCTATCTATCTATCTATCTATCTCTCTCTCTCTCTCTCTCTATATATATATATATATATATATATATATATATATATATATATATATATTTATGTGTGTGTATATGTGATCGTGTGTGTGCGTGGGTGTATTTATTTCTTATGACTAACGTTAATGCTTTATAACCAAAGAGTTCGTTTTTTCTTTCTTTTTACTTACATATCGAGGATTTTCTGGCAAGACTTTCTCCATCATATACAAACATTTTTCCCCCTACAAACCAAACTTTCTTTTTCATAGACTTCAGAGATCTCATAGACGTCCAAAACACACAATCCGTCAAACACCTACACAGTTCTTTGGTGAACAGTTCTCCGTCAGTAGCACAATTCTGATGTAAAATAACGTTTATAAGCGTCCTTTACAAACAATACATCGTACACAATACGACAGGCGACGATTTTTCAAAAGATCCTTATGTCAGCGCCTTTGTGTTCCTCTCTGTGCTATTGGCGACAGCATATATTACAATGACAAAACATCTACGACTAAAGAATAGCGACTCTAGAAATTCCAAAGAGCAGATGAGTAATTTATAAGCACTGTGTGTACGTAATTTATTCTATCTACATCTTTACACTTCTATCAAAGCATCTTTTAACAGAATTTTGATAAACGAATATAGCTTGTTTGTGTTGATCTACAGAAAAAAATATATCATACACAATAAAAATACAAGTAACCTAGATACATACATATATATTATGAAATGGACAAAGTCCGACAATTATTTAAGACATTTTTTTATGTTTATACGTTCTTTTTATAGATACAAATATTTAAGTAAATGCTCTGTTTATAATAAACAGCATTAACCAGCCTGAATGTCCGAGAAATTTTCATAGAAAATATGCGTCTTCCAACAGGAATCGAGCCTGTATCCTATACGGAACCGTCATATAACCTGACGTGCCTTAACCGATTGGTCCACAGAAGAGCGTTCGGTTAGCAAAGCCGATTTTTTCTGTATTCGGCCCTTCAAAAGTGTAGTGGGTTCTGCACAAAAAACTTCACCACTATAATCAAATCATATGTCTGGCTTTCGATTCCTACGAACTGAGCTGCTTGACCTTCATACATCGAATACGACGGGAGAGTCCACCATATATATATATATATATATATATATATATATATAAAACATAATTTCATCCACAGACAGACTGTTTCGCTGTATCACAGCTCATCATTGTACACACACACACACATATATATATATATAAAATTCAACATGTCTTGACCTATAATCCTCAACGCGCACACAGACACACACACACACACACATGCAGAAAAGCACTGAACTTTTTGGGGAACACATCACCAGTGCGCATTCTCTCAGAGTCGGAAGCCGATGAGTCCTAAGCAGGTCAAAACGGGCGTCCACAACTTTTCTGCATGTGTGTGCATTGAGGGTTCTAGGTCGAGACATTATGAATCATTATGAAAATGATACAAATCCACAAATTACTAATCAGTTCTCTAATCTTATGCTAGATCCAGCTTCTAATGCTTTGGATTGTGAGGCAGGTGAAGGAAGTCGTTGCTCATGGGGCCAGTTCTGTAGGTTATGTATGCTTGGATGGGTGTCACCACTGGAAATAGGATAAGGTGCGCTATTTTGTGTCTAGCTGCTTAGTTTCCTCCTTACCACCGTGGCCCACTGTCTCAATTGTATCATGTTTGCGTCGTATCGTGAAGGTTGGGTTCTCAGAGTCGGTAGAGTATATACACTACTGATGAGTCCCAAAGAATACGAAACGCCTGTTCTGTGTTTTTTGCATGTGTTTCCGTTGAGGATTCCGGTTCTAGATAGGATGAATTATTATGAAAATTATACAAAATGCTAAAGTCAGTGTGTCACACTTTTTCAATTAAAGAGACAGAACACTCTAACTTTCAATAGCTCATTTTTCTTCTTCTCTATAATAATTGCGAATGTCATTGTGTTACACTTTTCAGTTAACCTCGTTTTTAAACAGCTCATCATCTTCGTCTAATTCTTGATCTATATAAAAATGCGAATGTCAGTGTGTTCCTATGTCACACTTTTTCAATTACCAAGCTTTCATTACTGTGATTATTTTCGGGGATTTTTTTACGTGATTCTTTGTTACGAATTTTTTGTACGATATCAATTTTGCCAACTTCTTAAAAACAATACTATAGATTTAGCCGTTTCACTCTTCCGAATGGTGATAGTACAGTAGTAGAAGATGACTGACACCAAATCGGTTAGATTTTGATCCTGGCTTGAGGTATTCGAATGTCAAAACGCACTGAGGTACTATGATGCAGCGGAACAATATTGTCTGCAAATGATATAAGCTGGTATATATAGGGTGACCCCCAAAACGGGAATTAAGTGTGTATTGCCAGACATGAGCAAGTGGCAACACTGCGAGACAGTGACCTTGAGCAAGTAAACATTTCGCCATTTAGAATTCAAGATGAAATTCAGAGTATCCCAGCTGAGATGTTGCAGCAATCGATGAGGAATCCCAACAGCAGATTTCAAGAATGCATTCGTACAGGAGGGCGCCATCTACAGGACGTAATTTTTAAAAAATGAATATTCCATCATTGTTTCTTAAATGGCATATTTTAAGGTTTCAATTATAAAATAAAATATTTTCTTCCATCCTCTTGGTTTTATTGGATTGTTAAAAAGTTCCCGTTTTTTGGGGTCACCCTGTATATATATATATATATATATATATAGCAATTGTATATATCGCCAGGAATCCCACTTTTATACAAGTTTCGTTAGAGAAGACAGACAAAGCGCAACATTAACGAGACAATTATTTTTTTAGCAAGTAAAAGTTTTTTTTTAGAATTCAAGATGAAATTCACAGTATCCCAGCTGAGATGTTGCAGCAATCAATGACGAATCCCAACAGACATATGTCATGCATGATAAACACTTAGCCGATCATGTATCTTTCGAGGAAGATTTTATTTCCCGCAGAAGGTTGCCATTTCTTTCTGCGGAAGACCAGTTGCATTCTGCCTCCTATTTACTCGGAGGAGAAGAAGAAGCATATCTTTCTTAAAGGTATTAGCACGCAAGTGAATGTAATGGATTCGACTGGTATTCGAACTCGGCTCCCTGATTCCTCAATCCGAGTCGCTATCCACTAACTCCACCGAGCCTTCCCCATCACCAAGTAAGACTTTTATTTTTAAATGAATGTGTGTGTTTTATGTATATTTCTGAATTTATAGGAATGTTTTATTTTCCAAACACGGTCAGTCATTTTCCCAACATCTTTAGCAATAGATCGCATCATGAGTTAATCATGAGGATTATGATGGCCTTTAGTCGCAAACACATAAAAGGTGGGGAACATCCCCGAGAGAACCACTATCCATCCTGAGAGGTGAAAGTTCGGCGACTTCTCAGTGCAGGTGGAATCATTTCTTCATGAAACCGCCAACGTTAGGTCAGAGGAAAGATCAGCCACCAGTTTATGGGCATCAAGATCTTTGGGCATGCACCAATGAAATGTTATGTCATCCGCATAACTATTTAGTGGCACTTTTGTCTTGTATTTGATGAACAATAGTAAATACAAATAGGTTTCATGGTATTTTATATAAACATTGCATTGTATGATGTTCGAATATTTTTGTTTAATACAATTCCTTACTACATCATTAGGTCTTAGACCTATTGATGTATTTGCACACAAATAGATAGATAGATAGATAAGGTAACAAACAGACAGACATACATACATACAGATAGATAGATAGATAGATAAATAGAAACAAAATGAGATAGATATAAGTAAAATGAGATAGATCTATTGACAGATAGATATGAGTAGACGTATATATATATATATAATTATATATATATATATATATATATATATTGAGAGAGAGGGGTAGATAGATAGATTGATAGATAGATAGATAGATAGATAGATAGATAGATAGATAGATAGATAGATAGATAAATATGGATAGAATTAGATACACGCAAAATGAGATAGATTTATAGATAGATATGAGCAGATACATATGTATGTATGTATGTATATATATATATATATATATATATATATATATATATATATATGTAGATAGATAGTGGATAGGATGAAATAGATAGGCATGAATCCAACTTTCAAAAAAAGAACTAGTTACAATTTTTATTAGACATTGCTTACAAAGTAATACGTTTTTGGGGGTATTTTATTCCAGCAGATGACAAATCCTTTCAAGCTCTTGTAAATTCTCGTACGATTAATTAAAATACAATTAAATTTTTTTTATCTCTCCAGATTATGGAAGTTATCAATATCGACATTTTAAAGGCTTGTTGCTGCAAGCATTGAACGTATAAAACAGCATTTTTTTAAAAAGCTTATAATAAATCAAACATAATAATATTAAAATATAAATTCTCTTTCATTGTTATTTATAAATGAATGCATGCCACAAACCTTCCATTTCTTGTAGCGATCTAAACTGATGTAGAATTAATAATAATGAAAAATCTTTAAATCCTGAAACGTGTTTGAATATCTCGATTTAAATAGCTTAAGTGTTCGTAAATAAATGTTAGATGCCAGCTTTTACTCGTTATCCACATTTTACGAAAGAAAAAAAAATTGTAAATATTATGGGCCATGTTCCAATTATTTTCAGGATAATTTATAAATAATGAACGAGTGGTCCATGGTTTTATTCATATATTTCGGCTTCAGATAAAATAAATTGATGAGGAAAAGTGAGAATCGATAAAAATATGAAAAGATTGAAATGGGAGTGGAATTCTAGAATGGTATAAATACGCGATAAATTAAGAACAAAAATGGAAATATGAAAAAGGAAAAAACAAAGTTATACAAGAAAGAAATGAGATCAACGAAAGATAGACAGAAAGCAAGAAAGAAGAAGCAAAGAGAAAGGGAAAAGAAAAGAATAGAAAGAAATATAAAAAAGAAGAAAAGAGAAAATTATATGGAAAAAGCAAAAAGAAAGAGAAAAAGAAAGTAAAAAAAATAAAGAGAAATTAAGAAAAGAACGAAAGAAAGGAAAGGAAATTAAAGTTAAGAAAAGAGTCAGAATGAAAGGCAAAAAGAAAACCTGGAAGGAAGCGAGACAAAGATAAATTAACAATGTGAGAAAAAGAAAGAATTAATGAATGAAAGAAAGAAAGAAAAAGTAAAAGAAAGAAAGTAGTAAACGGAAAAGAAATGAAAAGCAAGAGCAATGAGAGAAAAAGAAGAAAAAAGAAATAAAAAAGCGAAAAAAGCAAGAAAAAAAGAGAAAGTAAGAAAAAAAAAGTAACAAGAAAAGAACGTGATAGAAAATATGTCAGAACGAAAGAAAGAAAGAAAAGAAAAGACTGGAAGGAAGACAGAAAAAAGAAAAAGTAACAAGAAAGAATTATCGAATGAAAGAAAGAAAAAGTAAAGGAAACAAAGAAAGAAATAGAGAGAAAAGAAATTGAAAGAAAGAGCAATGACAGTAAAAAAGAAAATGGAAAAAAGAAATAGGAAAGAGAAAAAAAGCTAGAAAAATAGAGAAAGTAAGAAAAAAATGATAAAGTAAGAAGAAAAATAAAGTCAGAGAAAGAGTGTGAGAATGAAAGGTAGAAAGAATAATAATGCAAATAAAAATAAAGAGCGGAAAAAGGGAAGGGGACAGAAAATAGAAAGAAAGAAAGAAAGAAAGAAAGAAAGGTTCAGAAATAAGTAAAGCAATGCAGAATAACGTTAAAAGAAATAAAGGAAAAAGAAAGGAACAAAAAGACAGAAAGAAAGTAAAGAATGAAGGAAAAACCCAAGAAAATGAATAAATAAATGAAAAAAAAATGAAGAATAATGAAAGTTGTCCGTAAAGGGTTTGCAAAAAGAAAGCAATGAAGAATACCGTTGAAAGAAAGAAAGAAAGAAAGAAAGAAAGAAAGAAAGAAAGAAAGAAAGAAAGAAAGAAAGAAAGAAAGAGTTGTCCGTAAGGTAAGGTTGAGAAATAAGTAAAGCAATGCAGAATACCGTTGAAAGAAAGAAAGAAAGAAAGAAAGAAAGAAAGAAAAAGAACGAAAGAAAGAAAGAGTTGTCCGTAAGGTAAGGTTGAGAAATAAGTAAAGCAATGCAGAATACCGTTGAAAGAAAGAAAGAAAGAAAGAAAGAAAGAACGAAAGAAAGAAAAGAAAAGGTAAGGTTGAAAATAAAGGAAGAAAAAAGAAAGAAAGAAAGAAAAAAAAAAGAACGAAAGAAAAGAAAAGAGTTGTCCGTAAAAAGGTTGAAAAATAAGTAAAACAAAAGAAAAGAAAAGAAAGAAAGAAAAGAAAGAAAGAAAGAACGAAAAGAAAAGAAAAGAGTTGTCCGTAAAGAAATAAGAAAAAAAGAAAGAAAAGAAAAAGGTAAGGTTGAAAATAAGTAAATGCAAATACCATTGAAAGAAAGAAAGAAAAAATAAAAAAGAAAAAAAAGAAAAGAAAAAAAGAACGAAAAAAAAAAAGAAAAAGAAAAAAGAAAAAGGTTGAGAAAAAAGAACCGTTGAAAAAAAAAAAAAAAAGAAAAAGAAAGAAAGAAAGAGAAGAAAAAAAAGAAAAGAACAAAGAAAAAAAATAAAATAAAAATGAAAAGAAAGAAAAAAAGAAAAGAAAAAAATTGTCAGAAAGAAAAGAAGAAAGTTGAAAGAAAAAAGAAAGAAAGAAAAGAAAAGAAAAGAAAGAAAGAAAAGAAAAAGAGTTGAAAGAAAAAAAGAAGAAAAAAAAAGAAGAAAGAAAGAAAGAAAAAAAGAAAAGAAAGAAAAAGCCAAGAAAATACCGTTGAAAGAAAGAAAAGAAAAGAAAAAGAAAGAAAAGAGTTGTCCGTAAGGTAAGGTTGAAAAATAAAGAATACCGTTGAAAGAAAGAAAGAAAGAAAGAAAGAGTTGTCCGTAAGGGAGAAAACTGTTGAAAGAAAGAAAGAAAGAATTGTCCGTAAAGGTGAAAGAATAAAAAAGCAAAGCCGTTGAAAGAAAGAAAGAAAGAAAGAAAAGAAAGAAAGAAAGAAAGAAAGAACGAAAGAAAGAAAAAGAGTTGTCCGTAAGGTAGAATAAATACCGGAAAAAAGAAAGAAGAAAAATAAAAGAACAAAGAAAGAAAGAAAGTTGTCCGTAAAGGTTGAAAATAAGTAAAGAAACCGTTGAAGAAAGAAAGAAAGAAAAAGAAAAGAAAGAAAGAAAAAAAAAAGAAAGAACGAAAAGAAAAAAAAGAACCGTAAGTAAGGTTGAAAATAAATAAAAGAATACCGAAAAAAGAAAGGAAAGAACGGAAGAAGAAAAGAGTTGTCCGTAAAGAAAAAATAAGAAAAAAATACCGTTGAAAAAGAAAGAAAGAAAGAAAAAAAAAAAAGAACGAAAGAAAAAAAGAGTTGTCCGTAAAAAGAAATAAAAAAGCAATGCAGAATACCGTTGAAAAAAGAAAGAAAAAGAAAGGAAAAGAAAAGAAAGGTTGAAAAGAGTAAGGTTGAAAAAAAGAAAAAGAAAGAAAGAAAGAAAGAAAGAAAGAAAGAAAAGAAAGAACGAAAAGAAAGAAAAAGAGTTGTCCGTAAGGTAAGGTTGAAAAATAAGAAAAGCAATGCAGAATACCGTTGAAAAGAAAGAAAGAAAGAAAGAAAGAAAGAAAGAAAAGAAAGAAAGAAAGAAAGAGTTGTCCGTAAAAGGTTTGAAATAAAATGCAATGCAGAATACCGTTGAAAAGAAAGAAAGAAAGAAAGAAAGAAAAAGAAAGAAAAAAAGGTAAGGTTGAAAATAAGGAAAGCAATGAAATACCGAAAGAAAGAAAGAAAGAAGAAAGAAAGAAAGAAAAAAGAAAGAAAGAAAGGTTGAAAATTGTCCGTTGAAGAAAGAAAGAAAGAAAGAAAGAAGAAAGAACGAAAGAAAGAGTTGTCCGTAAAAAAGGTTGAGAAATAAGTAAAGCAATGCAGAATACCGTTGAAAGAAAGAAAGAAAGAAAGAAAGAAAGAAAGAAAGAAAGAAAAAAAAAGAAAAAAAAGGAGGAAAAAATGAAAGAAAATGAAAGAAATATAGAAAGAAAAGAAAGAAAAAAGAAAGTCCGGAAAGAAAGAAAGGTTGAAAGAACGAAAGAAAGAAAAAAAAGAAAGAAAGAAAGAAAGGAAAGAAAGAAAGAAAGAAAGAAAGAAAAAAAGAAAGAAAGAAGATAAGGAAAGAAAAATAAGAAAAGAATGCAGAATACCATTAAGAAAGAAAGAAAGGAAGAAAATAAAGGAAGGTAAAAAATGAAAATACCGGAAAGAAAGAAAGAAAAAGAAAAAGAAAGAAAGAAAGAAAAGAAACCGAAAAGAAAAAAAGAAAGAAAGAAAGAAAGAAAGAAAAAGAAAACAGAAAAAGAAAGAAAAAGAAAATCCGAAACTAAAGGTTGAAAAATAAAGAAAGAAAAGAATACCGTTGAAAGAAAGAAAGAAAGAAAAAGAAAAGAAAGAAAGAAAGAAAAGAAAGAAAAAGTTGTCCGTAAAGATAAGGTTGAGAAATAAGTAAAAGCAATGCAGAATACCGTTGTCCGTAAAGAAAAAAGAAAGAAAGAAAAAAGAAAGAAAGAAAGAAAATGAAAGAAAGAAAGAAAGGAAAGAAAAAGTTGTCCGGAAGAAAGAGAAATAAAAAGCAATGCAGAATACCATTGAAAGAAAAGAAAGAAAAAAAGAAAAGAAAGAAAGAACGAAAGAAAAAAGAGTTGTCCGTAAAAGGTTGAAAATAAATAAAAACAATGCAGAATACCGTTGAAAGAAAAAGAAAAAGAAAAAAGAAAAGAAAAAGAAAGAAAGAAAAAAAAAAGTTGTCCGAAGAAAAGAAATAAGTAAAGCAATGCAGGAATACCATTGAAAGAAAGAAAGAAAGAAAGAAAGAAAGAAAAAAGAAAGAAAAAAGAAAAAAGAAAGAAAAGAAAGAAAGAAAGAAAGAAAAAGAAAGAGTTGTCCGGAGGATAAGTTTGAAAAATAAGAAAACAATGCAGAATACCATTGGAAGGAAGGAAGGAAGGAAGAAAAGGAAAGGAAAGAAAAAGATAAGAAAATAAGAAAAATGCAGAATACCGTAGAAAGAAAATAAAGAAAGAAAAAAAAAAAGAAAGAAAAGAAAAAAGAAAAAAAAAGAACGAAAGAAAAAAAGAAAAAGAAAAGAAAAAAAAAGTTGTCCGGAAGATAAGGTTGAAAATAAAGCAGAATACCGTAAGAAGAAAAGAAAGAAAAAAAAGAAAGAAAGAAAGAAAGAAACTGATTCGAAGAAAAGAAATAAACTGGTTGGAAGAAATAACGAAAGACAGAAGAAAAAATAAATATAAAATAAAAGAAAATATGAGAAAGAAAAATGGTAATCATTGATGAAAGAAGAAGCAAAATGAAGAAGAAAAAAAGAAAGAACAGAAGAAACGTGTAAAAGAAAAACAGAAAGATAAAAGAAAATGAATTAAAGAAAAAGTGAAATTTGATTTGAAAAAGAATGAAATGCATTGTGCGTATGTTAGAAAAGAGTAGCCAATTACTGAAGTTGACAGGACAAGAGGAAAACATTGTAAATGATGAGGAAGGAAATTTGAAGAAAAACATTCATACACCACCGTAAAAATATAACACAGAACCAAAAAACAAAACCAATCAAAGGGCTTAAAAGGAATCAAGGTAGGACAGGGAAAAAAAAAAGAAAGAATGAATTTAAAGAAGAAGAAACAAGAATGAACGAAACGTTTCTCTAATTAAAAATCTCATCTGAAGCAGAAAGAAGATAAGATAGGGGGAAGTTATTTTTAGAAAAAAACAAAAACTAATTTATAAATGCTGTCAGGAAAGAAAGAATACAATAACAAAAAAAAATCAACGTGAAAAGAAATTTGAAAAATTTTCGAATGTAAAATCCAAAAAAAAAAAAAATTACTCTAGGAAAAAGAAGTGCCCAACGTCCAAATTACAAATTGAAAATTCCAAAATGAAGCAAGTACAAAATTTTAAATATCTAGGAAGTGTTTTAACAGAGAACAGAAAATACAATGTTATATTAGGATAGCCTTCAATTCACTTCCTTTCATTTTTAAGAAATGTTAGAAATAAACCAAAATGTACTGACTTGTCACGTAATACCGTCCCTCTTACAGTGATTTTCCAAACATAGTTTAGACGTGGCGCAAGGTCGAAAGTAGTAGGCACCCAGTAAGGATCGAACTCACTATACTCAGTAATAACTCTTCTAGCGAGACGGCAGTTAGTTGTAGATTCGTCTCCAGCTGGGCTGGTCGAGCTCTCTGCCTTCGGGCTGAGGGAAGCCCAGATGGGACTGTGCCGAGGGGTGGAGCCTCGTCTGGGGTGGTAGACAGCTACCCGACCCCGTGTACACAGGGTCTACAGAGAATTTTTGCCCGAGCCCACGGGCTCGGTTTTACCCCGCGTTAAAAAAGGCCTTGTGCAACATCCTGGTAAAGTAAATAACTTTGCTAAGCATTACACTGTCCCAAGGTGTCCATACCGTTCCTCTTTTATAGCAAACGAAGAAGAGTCTTCAGGTGACAGAATATCAAATTCAACAGAAGAATGCGGAGAATATCATTAAGTTAACCTGTGGGCAAAGACGTAGTTTTAGAGAAAAGGGAAGTAAAAAGGATACTTATACTTAACATCAGAAGAAGTCAGTTGACATTTCTAGGAAGAAAAATGTGGAAGAAAGGCTTGGAAATTTTGATACTCACAGAAAATATTGAAGGTAATAGAGACAGATGAAAGCATCTCATAACCTGTCTAACTACCTTGTGTAATTGGTTGATAGAATAGGAATTAGGGGTGATAGCAAAAATACAAAATTTACTAGGAGTTACAAATGACAGGAAATTGTGAAGAACCACAATCGCCAACGTCCTGAAGGGACAGAGCGCGTAGAAGAAATAGAAGAAGATTCACATAACATACAAGACACACGTGCCTTTTTGCTAAGATCAAAGTCTAATAGAAAGGTTGAGTCGGTGTAATGTAAGCGTCAGCGTAACAGATATTGCGGGAACTGGGCAATTTTTGAATTTTCACCGCACGTTTCAAGGTAGCTTCACCCACGTAAAAAAGGCCTTGTGTCACATCCTGCCTTAGTGGGGAAGTTAGATAAATATCAAGAATACATATCTCTATATGTTGAATATAGCCTGTATCAGGAGGTATGATTCTGCAAGACCTTAGCTGGTATTCATAATTCAACGAAAATCATCGAATTGAACACTGATATGGCGGAAATCTCTCTCTGTATATAAAAGAAGCAGACATAATTCATCTTACATTGAAGGGGCGGTTGGTATCACGGTTACCAACACTGGAAATAGAATCTGCAGTCTGAGTTCAATTCTTGGTCGAGTCTGTTGCGTTCATTTTTCACTCTCACACTAAAGATAGATTCTTTAACCTATAAGACAAGTTGAGATATCGAGCTACGTTAGGATAACCAGTCTATGAGAAAGACATCTGTCAAAATCTAAAGAAAAATCAGCAATTTTAACTGTCCCGACCTGGCATCTATAGTTACTTTCCCCAATCATTACGTAAATTCTCTGTACCTTTTCTATAACTATTTTTATTATTGTTGTTCTAATGAGCTTTCTGATTCAGGCCATCAACTTCATGAATCAAAGTATAGTACGAGATTGGCAACTAGTACTACACCCTTAATTGAAACGACCGCTTTAGTTTCCTTTCATTCAGCATACGGTCAGATTTAGAGCCATTGGAGTGACAGAGTATATTCGATTTCTTTTTTATAGGTCATTTTCAGTGGTGTGCAGTAATATGAATCTATTTTCGGGCAGTATGATGAAATTTGTTCGGCCTTGTAAAATATTGAGTCATCCGTGATTGCATCAGATTTTCATCACACCTAGACACTATTGTCTCGACTGTCAATTAGTTCTCCTACGACCATTAACTGTGATGGACGTTACTCCAAGGAAGCGTAGGAAAATTGTAACGCTGCAACCAACACACTGGTAATCCTTACCAATGAGCAAATCAAAGTACTAGAGATTGGCCCGAAACTCTCCTGAATTTAAATCAAATCGAGAATCTCTGGTCAATCTGCAAGGAACGAATTCGTGGAATGAGCATACGAAGTACTAACATGTGCAATGGGTCATGTTTCATTGGAAAAATATGCAAAAAAAACTTAAATAATAACGGAATTATTCGTTTTGCTTCAATTAATTTGCACAAGAGATTGCTAAGTGTATACTTATGTTCTATTCTAATAGTTTCTTATCTCGCAATTCTCGTCTGTGAAACTCTCTTTCACTTTCTAGCTTTCATGTCAACAGCGATCTTCAAAAATAATTACCATCTTTTGTGTTTCTGAATCCTGATCTTTTGTCGTCCATTCTCCTCAGCAATGTTTTTTTCTTCAGTTTCCGTCACTCTCAGTAACCACTTACATCTTAGTGGCTTTATCTCCTTGCTTGAGTTAAAATTATTAAAAAAAAAAAAATACCCAATGAAATTCTACTCCACTTTCTCAGAGAACAATATAGCGATTCTAACTTATGGATATTAAATAGGAATTTGAAGACGTTGCTTCACACTGACGTCGCTTACCTTTGGTGATCGAACGAGAACTGCTATTCAACATGATATGGTCGTAAATCACTAGGTATACTGTAAATCCGAAGCAACTAATCGAACACAGTAAACAGGCACATACATTTTGGCTTTTCCTCGATGTATTTAGATTTTAGATAAGATGTTGCCAAGAAAAAAATCCCTGGCTATAACGTTACACTCAAAAAGCTAAAATAAATGACCCGACTATCTGAGCGTGTTGTCGTGTGACGTAAGCCTCCATATTACGTCATCTAGATTCAAACGTCTAAAATTTTAACTTCGGAAAACAAAATTAAATAAACCATGCGTTTTTTTGTATCATTCCTACATGCGAAGGGAAATGTTTTTTGTTTTTTAAATTATTATTATAAGAGAGTAAATTTGAGATTGAATGGCCCTCACATTTCAAGCCTTGTGCCATACTAAGCTAATCTCTTACTAAATATGTATTAGTAATATAACACTGGTCACTCGAAAGATAATGAACAACATTGAAAGCTGAAAAGCAATAAATTAAATTGCCATCAATAAAGTGACGTTGGTCCGTATAGCAAATGAGAATAAAGTAAAATAAATCTGTCGGAGAAAAACGAAATAACGCGATGCAATCATGGAGGCAAATTGTGTTTGGTAAAATAAAGTAAAAAGCACAAAATGAATACCCAAAAAAAAAAGTAAGGACATTGTGATGTTGTAGCCATTCTTTAAAAATTAAGTTTGATTCTAATATCTTTGGACATGCTGATGTGGAAAATTTCAAAATTGCTCAAATCAGGCCAAGAACGTTTATTTCATCGACCGTCAGCTGAGGCCTGTTGTACATTTTGGTCAATTCCATCGCATTACCATTTTTATTCATTTATTTTTTTTACTTTAACAAAATTGACAACCGATTAGGCTTATTCTATTGCCCGTGATTAACTTTTATTGCATTTTATTCAGAGCTACATTTTCTAATCTTATAAGTAGCTCATAGATGTAAGATGACAGTGACGGCTTTTAAAGTTTCAATAAATGAAACATTATTTCAGTTCTTTTAAAAAAAAAAAAAATCTATAGAATATTGGTTTAGAAACAAACAAAAATGTACTGAATTGTCATGTAATATCATTCCTCTTATATGGCAGATGAAGAAGAGAATTAAGGTAACAGAAAATCTAGTTCTACAGAAGGATGCTGAAAATAGCAAGAACCAACAAAAACTTTTAGCATTTTAAAAATTGCTTACTTTTAATGTCATTTCCTTCGGGGCGTAAGCAATAATGGCTTTCTTATATAATTTCTCCCAACGGTTCCCAAATTGTTACTCCATTTTTCTTACTAGGTTCCTAACACCAACTCCGACACATAAATAAAAACACTTCTTTCTTTGTATTAAGCACACGGATCTATTGATTGTTTCTTATGGCTTATCAACCTTTTTTACTTTATTTTTAGATTATAAGTTTCCTTTTAGATAATAAGGATTTTATTGATGAAAAACCTATTAATTTACCCATAACTCCGGTGAGAATAGGTGAATTCCTACCTACACCAATATAATTTACGCGTAAATAGATATAACGAACCTGACTGGAATTGGAACTCGGCTCTCAGATTTTAATTCCGAGCCATAAAACATTACTCCACCCGCACATGCAAGCATACAACACTTCGTATTCCGAAGCGGTTACCCTTTACTTACATGCCGGGCTCGACGTTGTTTACCTCCGGTGATCGAACGAGAAGTGGTGTTCAACATGACATAAACGTAAGTCATTAAATATACTGCAAATTCAAAACAACTAATCCAACCCAGGAAACACACATGTGATTTTCAGTTTTTCCTCGATATTGTGAAGCAAATATTAGTAGATATATTTAAAGTATTGGCCCCTGCAGAAGTCAGTTGTCTG